ACCTAAAATATGCAGCTACAGAAAAAATCGTTGTTCTGCGCATTCTTTTTAGAATCCTGGGAGGATTTTCTTGTTGCTAGGGTGTACAGAACACCCCGCGCGAGTGATCACGGGTTAATGAAATTAGGACCATAGGTTCTCCTCGTTGAGCTAGTTTATTTGTTATTATTCGTGTGTAGATTGTGGGCTTAGGGGAGGCGTTATCACTGAAATTAGAATCTCTATTTTATTACTGTGGTGTTTGATCTTTTGCTGACGTAACCATATTACAGCGATAGAATGATGAAACTTTGGGATCACCTACTACTCTGTGTATCGTTGGTATGTAAATGACCATTTCCGTCGCAGTTATTCACCCGGGGGGAGATAGTTCTGTTTTCCTTTCCCGAGCTAGCGCCGCCTCATTTGCAACTTCAGATTCCGGACCGGTTCTAATGGATTCCACTTGTGTTTGCTCACAACCAGGCCCAGTTTCGAGTAGCTGGGATCCCTGCTTTTATTCTATTTAATTGTTTTAAATTTTTTTAATTATTTTAAAATAACCATAGGTCGGGGGCTTTTCAGACGGATGTCTTAATTTTCTCATTAACGATTATTCGCGCCGAGACATTGAATATGAGGCCTCAGGTATCACATTCGGTTCACTTCATCTCCAGATACAGTCTGATACCCTACATGTTATTGGTCCTTTCACCCCTGTGCGAAAGTATTTAAATTTATTTAAATCGTGATTATCTCAGGTTTGGCAGGTCCAATTGACTGAAGGTTAGCATCGTTCAACTCTGCTCGTGACCGCCTTTCGTCCTTGGCCCAGCTTGCCCTGCTAAAGATTTTTAGAAAGATTTTAATCTTGTTACGCCAAAGAAGTATAACTTCTTACGTGCGTGCATAAGTACACACAACCTTTTTTTTTAATTTCCTGTAAGTATGTTGGTTTAATAACAAAAAGTGTTCAAATAAATGCATCAGAAAAGCTCCGTAAGCGAAGGATGATCTTTCCCTACAAGTAGTGACGTCACAAATCAGCGAAAAGCAAAGGTTTCGCAGATACAGAGGGATATAGCTCAGTGGTAGAGCATTCGCTTGCTGATCGAGAGGTCTCTGGTCCAATCCCAGGTGTCCCTTTTTTCAGGGAAGTGAAGAGAAATAATTTTCTGAGAATTTCGATGGTGGGATTGATCTGTCCCGTTCTGTATATTTCTAGACAGAGCGTTTTCTTATCCATGACGGTGTGCGTCACATCCTTGACGGGTTTGGCTTACATACGTGACGATGTGCGCACGTATCGTAAAAATTTACTCTCATCCTATTTCTCTAACATCCTAAAAGAAGTATAACTTCAAAAACTGTACACATTTGCAAGCATTAACATTGAACATCTACAGTAATAAAAGGAAAGAGTTTGTTTCAGCTATTCCGGCAAAATTAAGCAACTCAGAAGTCTGAAACTTGGAAAGTAGAACTTGTAGAACATTATGCAATTAACCTCGAAGAGAGATTTTTTTTGAAATTCGCTTTAAATTTTTTAAAATATAATTTTTGAGCGATTTTCCATCCTATCTTAGGATATGACGTTACATTTTGAGTTCCGCAAAAACTAATGTTTCGTGAACTTTCTTGGTCAGTATTACATTTTTTACAATAAATGAATTTATTTATGGTTGTAGGTATTCGTTTATTTGTTTTTTAAGATAGATTTACGATTTCTTTTCGAATACAACATTTTTTGAAGTTATACTTTTTTTGGGGAGTTAGAGAAATACGACGAGGATAAATTTTTACGATGCGTGAGAACAACTTCACAGATGTGACGCACACCATCACGGATGCGAGAACGCTTTGTCTAGAAATATACAGAACGGGACACATCAATCCCGCTTTCGAAATTCTCAGAAAAATATATTTCTCTTCATTTCCCGGAAGAAGGGGACACCCGGGATTGAACCGAAGACCTCTCGTTCTGCAGTCGAATGCTCTACCACTGAGCTATACCCCCGAGTTAGTTAACCTTAGCTTTTCATTCCGTAGGAAGATACGAAAATGCTTTGATTAGAAATATGTGGAAAGGGACAGATCATTCCCGCTTTCGAATTTCTCAAAAAAATGTTTCTCCTCACTTCTCTGAAGAAGGGGTTTGAATTGGGGACTTCTTGATCTGCAGTCGAATGCTCTACAACTGAGCTATACCCCCGTGTCTGCGAACCTTTCCTTTGCGCTGATTTGTGACATCACTACTTGTAGGGAAAGATCGTCCTTCGCCTACGGAGCTTTTCTTATGCATTTGTTTGAACACTTTTTGTTATTAAACCAAACATACTTACAGGAATTTAAAAAAACAACAACATTAAATTAATCTTTAAATTGTGTTTCATGTACATAAAATATAAGACAATTTAAATAACAATTACAAGTATATGATTATAGATGTATTTACTGCGAACGCATTGTGATGAACATAAACACATTTATTACATTGTAGAAAATTATTATAGCCTTTAGTATTCGTATATTTATTTTTGAAGTTATACTTCTTTTTGTTTGGTAGGGAAAAAGAATGAGGATAAATTTTTACGATGCGCGCACAACCATTTGGGGGATCTTAATAACTATTGTTATAAACCATATCTTTTGGGACACATTCCCCCTCCCTCTACAGCATTGTGACCAATATCTCAGCACCCGAGCCTCACAGTCCATTCGGACCTAGTTCATTCGATACCTCTCTCTCTGGTCTTGCAGTTTTAATTTTTTCGTGTTCATAGGGTTATTTCTTCTGTAGTTTTTAACTGTGTCTTAAACTTTTTAAATTTGTTTAAATTCACAATATCTTGGCTCTTGTTCGAGTCTCGGACTTGAGATTTGAACCAAGTGTTCTACTCGTCATCTGCTTCATTCCCATTGCATAGGCATGGGGAGGGCTTAAGCACAATAATATGATGCTTCCATGATAATCCTGAGGGAAATGGAAAAAATTTCACCCTTCTAAGGAATTGAGCTTGTAACTTGATTTTAAGAGGTCCAACATAATTTCGTATTATCGCGAGTTTTACGTGGAATTGGCCCCCTCCCCTTACAGGACTTCTCCAGAAATAACTGGAATTCTATGCCACATTGGTCGACCGCACTGACTGGATTCGATTGTTCTTCCTATGAGCATCCTAAATATATTCTTTTCAGGATCATATCCCCATTTCTTAACCCTTATTTCACATTTTAAATTTATTTTAGTTATAATTTTTTTAAATCCCGCATAGCTCTCCTAGAATTTTTGAGATTCGTTAATGAAACTCGCACCAAAGATTTTCCTCGTTAAGCTATTTCATCTCTTATAATTCGTGTGTAGATAATTGGCTTAGGGGGTGCGTTATCCATAAAATTAGAATCCCCATGTTATGCCCATGAGGTTCGATCCTTTGATGACGTAACGATATTAGAGAGACAGAAGGATGATATTTTGGGATCGCCTACTACTCTGCATATCGTTGGGATGTACGTTACCATTTACGTCAGTTATTTCCCCCCGGGGGAGTTAGTTTCGTTCTCCTTTCCCAATCTAGTGCCACCCCATTTGCAACTACAGACTCCGGACCGATTCTAAAGGATTACTCTAGTGTTTGCTCACAACCAATCCAGGTTCGAGTTGCTGGGTGTCCTGATTCTATTTTATTTAATTGTTTTAATTATTTTAAAATGACCATAACTCGGGGGCTCTTCAGGAGGTGGCTTAATTTTCTCAGGAACGATTCTTCCCGCCGAGACATTCAATATGAGGTCTCAGGTGTCACATTCGGTTCACTTCATTTCCAGATACAGTCAGATACCCCACATGTTATTGGTCCTATTGTCCCTGTGCGAAAGTGTATAATTTTATTTAAATCGTGATTATCTCAGGTTTGGGGCAGGTCCGATTGACTGAAGGTTAGCATCGTTCAACTCTGCTCGTGACCGCCTTTCGTCCTAGGCCCAGCTTGCCCGGCTAAAGAGTTTTGGAAAGATTTTAATCTTGTTACGCCAAGGAAGTATAACTTCTTACGTACGTACATAAGTACACACACACACCTTTTTTTGAAATAGTTTTCTTAAACAACTGGATTTTAATTTCTTTGATTTGGCAACAGTATATTTGTTTTGTTCTTTGTTGTTAAAAGTTCGATACATAATGAAACAACTTTAATTTGAATATTCTTTATTTTATTAAAAATGTGCTATAGCATTGTTTTTCTATAACATTTACTTTTATTTATGGACTTTAAATATTTTTAAATTAAGTTCATGGTTTCATTGCTTTTATTTTTTAAGTAGGAAGATGCATCGGAATTCCAGTTAAGAGAATTTTATATTTTTTCAATTACTAAAGTTTAATATACATGTTTTTATTTTATTTTTCTGAACTTTTTCTGAATTTTTATATCCTTTTGTCGCTTCTTTTTCAGTTTAAAAATTTCCAATTTGTCTTTTGTGAAATCAATTGTATTCATATTGTAATTTCTTTTTCAGTTTAAGACAGTGTCACGTTTATTATACTTTTCAGATTTTGACCTTTATATGTTTACATTTGATTATTCTGTACTATTCCTGGTTAAAGAGTTGTGTCATTTATTTTCCAGAATTTCTAATTTGATTTGTTTTGTTAGTGATTACTTTTCATGTTGTAACTTTTTTTTTTACAGTAATTCTAAATTAAATTGTTTTAATATATATTTTTATGGTTTTCAGTTGTTAATGTTGCTTTTTTAGATGTTTGTTTAAATGCTGTAATTACTATTTTAGTTTAAGGCTGTTCCATGTTTATTTTATCAACTACCTTTGGAAGTGGTAATGATTTTCAATTGGTAATGTTGATTACTCATATCGTCGGCCTAATTATCAGACTGCGTAACTCCACTGGTGTAACTGATTTGATATATGAGTGCAACACGCCAAACACTTTTGGCGCGAGTCCTTAATCACGCAAAGCAGTGGTTGTTTTCGGGTTACATGAAATCCAAGATGACGGCCTAGCGTTTCCCTTTGGTTTTGTCTACGCCATGCCTCAGTGCGCGCTTGGCTTTTAATATATTCCTTTGATCATTGTAATCACTATTTTTTTATTTCATAATAAAACTAGATTTCGAATGGAGAGGTGGTGGCAAGGTTTTAACATAATATAAATACAACAGAAAGTAATATTAATGTATTACACTTCCAGATATAAATTACTTACACTATTTTAAACGTTCATTACACAAAATTTGTAACAATTTCGCACGGTAAAAATATCAAAGTAAACCATATTGTAATATTATTGTCTATCTTGGCGAACATAAACAGCAACTTGACGCCTAGCCCTACTGTATCAAATTAGCATCCCAGGTGGAGTTACGCTGAAAATTAGACCGAAAATATTTTATTCTAAACAATCGTGCAAGTGTTCGAGTTGTTGAAATTTGGGAATGATACATCCTCTTGCCAAAATGTTCCAATTGACGGGGATGGCTCTTGTCTTTTCAGTTCAATTTCTTATTTGTTGCGTGGAACCCCAGTTTTGGGGTTCGACACGCTGTTGTTCATTATATAATCAGTAACTGGGATAGATTTAAGGTATTTACACATGATCATGAATGGAACAACTGCCCATCTTGCGAAACGTATAAAACTTCTATGATGAAACATAAGATTTACGGTTCTACTGCTAAATTGCAGGCTGCCTCTGAAATCTATTCTTGCCGTTTCCAGATTTATCATAATGGACATCTCTTTGCTGTATTTGGGGAGCATTTTTAAACTGTTAACAACATAAAAGGTTCAGTGGCTAAACCTTGAGGGATTGACACTTTGATGCCTATGTGTTTTTTTCTTCTCATAACGAAGAATATGAAATCTTTCAAAGCAACATTAAAGTCATCAGAAATTCTAAATTTGAAAAAGAATTAAATGTATACATATATAAAGGTCTAAATGAAAAAAAAAGAATAAACTTGACACAAACTTAAACCAAAATAGAAATTACAATTTGAATACAATTGACTTCACACAAAATACATCAGAAACTTTTAAGCTGAAAAAGAAACTTCAGAATTAAATCTAAACCCAGAAATGGTTCGGAATAACTAAATGAAATATAAGCAACAAAAAAATGTTTTTTTTTTAACTAATTTAATAATTTATTGAAAAAATATAAAACAGGCTTAGATGGGAGACAGATGTATCTTTCTACCAGAATGCAGTCTTCAAACAAAAGCTATAAAACCATAAACTTAATTTAAAAATATTTAAAGTACATAAATCAAAAAAAAATTAACGAAAAAAAATGCTGTAACAGATTATTGCTGAAATAAAAACCCTTTTTAAGAGAATTCATTTACGCAGTACTTTTTTTTTAAAAAAGGAAGTTACCAATGAGAGAAATTTGGAAATTTTTACATAAAAATTAAGCCCTTATAAAACTAAAACTAATAAAAACATTCGAAAAAGAAAGTTTATTCCAAGCGATTGGCTTGGCTTTGAAAACACACACACAAATCTTTGCTTCGTCTATGTTGTTTATTAACTATATGTTGACTATTTCAAAGTCTGCTTTGCTAAAAATCTGTACATATTTTGGTACTTATCAGTTGTAAGGACCTCAGGTTTGTGGTTCTTGCTAAAAGGAACGTAAGTGTTAATATCTATGTGTTTGTACTTAGGCCACAATTCATCTTACGTTGATATCACCACAGAAGGCTGCCAGCAAATTAATAAGTATACCTTAGAACTAATTTATTGCATGAATATCAGTGCATTTCAGCAGTACTTATTGCCTACTTCCAACTGCATAGCATGACCACTTGGTGAAAAAAAATAAGTACTTATGTATTATCGCAACCTGTTGGCGGCACTAAAGGAAACGAAGCACATGGTTGCCAATGCAGCGCGAATGATACATGAGAAAACGCGGTTGACAACTTTTTGAGTTATTAATGGAGTTGAGAATTGTTGCAATAATACGCAAGTATACCAAAAATTCTTAATATGACATTTCGATTCTTGCATATTATCGCAACCTATTGGTGACATTACATGAAACGATGCACATGGTTTCCAATTTAGGGCATGCAACACATGTGAAATCAGTTTGTAACTTGGCAAGTTATTTTTAAAGTAGACATTTGTGCAATAAAACGCTACTACCAACATGTCCTTCCATTTAAAAAAAAAGGTTACTGCTATTCCTGATACTTACGCATTAGAGACACCGCAGCCAAAGTGGAACTTTTGTTCACCAAAATCTGACGGATTTTTTTTTT